GTTTATCTCCAAGACTGCGAGCTCGATTGCCCCCATCTCGGCTTCATGGATGGAATTGATTGTATTTATCTCCATCCGTGGGACGATCAGGACGCACTCCCCACTTCTCTCTGATCTCCTCGATGGGTCCCTTCCCCATTCGAGGTCGGGAATTTAAGGGAATAATGGAAGATGGAGGCCGTCCCTCTCAGCTTGTAAAGCGTCATCCTTCCTAAGATGGCGTTGTACTCGCTTGGACAGTCCACTATCTTGAAGGTTTCTAGTATCGTTCGTGAGGGTCGCCCCTTCTCCCCAAACCTGATCGGCAATGTCACTTGGCCAACGGGGGTTGTCATCTGTCCATTAAACCCCTTGATTCGCTCTCGGCAGGGCTGCACCTTCTTCCTGTCGATCCCCTTTTTTTGAACGTGCTGTAATAGAGGATGCTCGCGTAGGCCCCGGTGTCTACCATTATGCGATGGATCAAATTACGGCACTGGTCGGTAATATGCCTGTGCGCCTTGTGATAGGCGCAGTATCGAGACTGGTCCATCTTGTCTTTGTCGGTGAACATAGGCTTGGGGTCAGGCAGTAACCCATTTGCTTTTATCTCCTCGTAGACCGCGGCGGCGCCTACGGAGAAGACGCCTCTAAAGCTTTCTTTGAGCTCCTCAGCCCTCTGCTTTCTCATAGCCCGGACCTCTGCGAATGGTTTGCTGGGTTTCCCCGATTTCTTTTATTCTTATCCTTGCTCGGAGAGGCGTCCAGCACCGGGATGGATGAGGATTCTTCGACCATAATGTAATTTTGGGCCTTGGTGAGGAACCCCTGGTAGGTGGTCGGCTTGTTCTTGCACAAGGACCATTTGAACAAAGTTCTCGGCTTCAGCCCGGCTTGCACGGAGACGAGCAGGGTCTCAGTATGACACTGTTCCATATTCTGAACTCGTTCATTGAATCGAGTGATATAGTCTTTCAGGCTCTCGTCCTCGCCTTGGACAATATTGGCAATGGATTCCTTGGGGGCCAGGTTGATTTGCGATCCGATGAAGTGCGATCGGAACGCCGACCTGAGCTGCCCCCAGGTGAAAATAGAGTGCGGATACAGAGAATGGTACAACCTCGTCGCCTTTGGTCCAAGGGTCAGGGAGAACATGCGACAGCGTAGGGCGTCTGTCGCACCGTGCAGATCCATCCATGAGGTGTAAAGCCGATGTGGGAGTCAGGGTCTGAGCTCTCGTCGTAACGTCTGAGCTGAGGCACTTTGATTTTCTGGAGCAGAGGCTCGCGCAATATGTCAGTAGAGAGAGGTGAAGCATGCTCCATGACCCAAGGAGTGGGTCGCGAATAGCGAGGTGGCGAGGCACCTTCCTGGGGGAGCGTCGACCTTCCAGTTCGGCGATTCTGCGTTTGAGGGTCGCGACCTCGTCGGCGTCACGCCCAATGGTTTTACCTCTCTCAATGACGCCCCTGAGGTCGCGGTTGGCCTGGGTTTTGTCACCTAGGCATTGGTAGACGGAGCGGCATATGACCTGCAGGCTCCGGTCTAGCTGGCTTTCACCAGTTTGTTCAGTGGGTGTTGGCCTCGCACTTTTCTCGCGCTGTTCCAGGGCGGCGCGGTTGGGAGATTGAGCCGTCGTCTTAGACTTAGTAGGCTTTTTCTTCTTCTGTCCCCCGGTCTTCTTGTCGAGGATCTGGAGCAGAGTGTTGTCGGGGTTCTCCGTGGCTGCCACGTTGTTCCCCGCGGGTGCTTGGCTGGCGAGTGCTTTCGCGAAGACTCCTTCCAGAGCCTTAAGGACGTCGGGGTGCTGCATGGCAGCGGCAAAAGTCGGAACTGGGGGAACGGGAGCTTGAGTCCCTTGCTAGACACGGCGGGAGGTTTCCTCGCCGTTGCGCTGGTGGGATTGGGCGCCGGACCTGGCTCATCAATCGAGTACGGTCCGTGTGCCCGAAGTGGAAAGAAATGAGTAAATGGGGTTTCACAAGATCGAATAGTTGACACCAAATAACTTATGGTACCCTTCCTCTAGCGTCAAACTATTGACGAGCGTTTTTGGTCAACGGTTAAAATAGTAGATGGTAAAATTGCAAGACTGGAAACATAGGAAAGATATAGCTTAATTACGATTTTATTAAACGATCACGAGGTCGGTCTCTCGTACGAGGTCGGCACTTGCGATATACTTGCAATTCTTACAGGATATTTCTTACAGTTTCAGAGAGAGAAAGTAGAGAGAAGGCAGAGTTAGTTGAGATTCAACAACCCAAAATAAATTAAATGAGCTGCTATTTATAGTATCCTTAAATGTGGTACTGTTCAGCCACTGTTCACCGGTCTTGTCGTAAAGTAATCTTAAGAGCATTTCGGCGTCTCCTTCACCTCCATTTAATGCGATTTGAGGTTTCTTCAATCATTGCCTGTCAGGCATTTAATGTAGGCATGGGGGCATTTAAAGCTGGCAGGCTTTTCTTGTTTAGACCTGCTTGTAGGCTGTCAGACTATGACAGCCCGTCCCATCGTCCAATGATGACCTTCCAAGTGGGGATATTTTAATGTTTGTCGAGCCCTGCCATGGCCTCCGGGGTGACCACCTTAGACCTTCAGGTCGACACTTTTCTCGAATGTACTCACAGGGTGTCCCGGATCCATTCTCCAGCCCGGCACCCGTCCAGCCCGGCATGTACATGCATCGAGCCGGGGTGCCGGCCTCGGAAATTACTCCCATAGAGATCCTGTGCACTTTGTTTCCCGATTCAGCTCGGCACTTATGCTTCAGACCGGATCCTAAGCCCGGGTCTTGGTAGGCAGTGTCTTCCAGTTCGTTCCTGGCTAACTCGGATATCAACAGATCTTATTGAAATTGTGCAGTAAGTACCTAATACACCCCTAATTAAAATTGATCGAGATTTTACGTATCAAATTTATTTATATGATAATGATAGAAGGACTGAAGTTTTTTAAGAAGAAAAACAAGTTAAGAATGCAAATGATATCAAGAATTTGAATGATAACCTAGATATTAATCGTGAAAATTTGAATGACTTAATCGATTCTGAATATTTGGAGGATAATATGCCCAAAAGTCCTTTTTTAGTCGAGAAATGGTGAGTAGAGCTACTAATGCAGTGTATCCTATTAATAATAAAAGTAGAAGTTTCAATGGTAAACTCTGCTAACGATCTTTACCGAATGCGGAAAAAAAAAAATAGTTTTGAAACATGATTATAGTGACTTGATCGGAAATTTTTACACAAAAGAGCACGGGAAGGTTGTAATCTTTGTTTTTTTAGTACTTTTATTTCTCATATTCATTGTATTTTTGAATTTATTATTGGCAATGTTTAATATTAGTTGTTCAATTAAAAATTTTAAAATATTAAAATAAGATCCCGAGCCACTCGTAAAAATTTGTTTGGGGTCTCCAAATTTCTGGAGACGGCCCTGGGTCAGAGCTTGGTTACCACTCCTCGGTTCAAGAATCAAAGGTAAAGGAGGCTTGAGTTTGATCGTTGGGCACAACTTTATTGTTTCTTGGTCTGGGATCGAGATGGTTTGTCTTAAGGAGATGGAAGGGGGTTGAGAACTTTCTTATCGGCTCCAATGGTAGGGCTTATCTCCTACTCTCGGTCTCTCTCACGCTTAGGACACCGGCGCTCGAGATGGAAGCTTGCAATGGCAGAGAGGATAATGTTGCGGCTGAGATGGTTTAACAGATGGCTGGGAGATATTTTATGGACTTCTCTGAAATGTTGAAGGGTACAAAATGAAGGAGGAGGTTTTAAAGGAGGCCCTAAATCTGATTTTCAAAATTTAAAAAGAGATGGGGAGCTTGTGAGATAAAGGGCCGAACTTAAAGGATAGTTGAAGACCTTTTCCACTCTCTTTGGTGATGATCGGATAAAGGCTTGTAGAAGGGGAATTAGTTCCTTAAAAATAGGCATGAGGTGAAACAGACTTAGACTTGGTGTTATGCATGAGACAATAAAAACAAACTAGCGCCGCTTCTACCTGATGAGGTAATTGAGGAAGTTAGAGCGATACCGCCTCCGGTCGGTGATCAAGGACCGGATAGGCCGGTATGGATGTTTACAGCACTGCACCAATTCGGTAATACGAGTGCCCCTTCATCCTGGATAGGAAAAGAAGAGTTTGTAGGTGCTCGTGTATGGTCAGATGAAGTTCTGACCATCTGTCAGATAAAAAAGAATGAACCGATTTTTTAGGATTCCCAAGAAATTCTTCGATTTCTTTCGTTTGACGAAAGGAAGGATCCAAAAGAATCGATCTTTCTTTTAGTGGTTGAATCTCTCTTTGATAAATAAATAAATAACTGCTATGGAGTTTGAAATAAAAATAAGCGCATGCATGGCTTCAGTGACTAGGCGTGCTCGAATTTATGCTATAGTGGCCGAACTCAAATACAAATTTGCTAAGTCACACAATGCACATACATGGAAGAAAAATATACTAAGGCAAGGAAAAAAATAATGCACATACACATAGAACGTTTATATGTATAATTAACACTAAAATTCAACTAATGCACAAAAATGATATTAATGACAAATACACATATAATCACATAGTTAGAGAAAATTCACTTCGGCAAATAATTCAAACAAAGCAATTAGAACCAATTCTATAGTCGAGCAAAGCAATATGATCAATTGAAATAAAACGGGACATTACAACCCATTAAATAGTTTGCAACAAATATTAAGATGGAAGAAAAAAAAAAACAAAAAACAAAAATATACCCCCAAAGGGAAACTAGGACACAACACAAGGACACACTGAAAACTAACTATAATAGCTTGTAGTAAATCAAACAAAATATTTCAATATTTAGAGACCCATAAACTTTTGCATGGTTTATCGTGTAAGGTGAATTAGGCATGAACTCTAAGAATATTTCTATTTATCAACACTAACGAGTGCACTTTGTATATGTGTGCATTGATTGTTGTTTAGCAATTGTATTAAGTAGCTCTCAATGTCGATTATCAGACCAAGTACATTGGTTAAATTTTTTTCTCTGCCAGGGATATACAGCGTGAGAAAACCGAGCTTAAGGGCGCGGGTAATTTCTTTGAGAGTAAGATCACGGTCTTCACACCAATGTTGTATGCAACTCCTGCAATCCCGTCAATTTTCTCCTCATATTGCTCATACACGTAGCACAAGGTGAACGAAAGTATCAATGCTGCCAAATTTTTTTTACCAATATAAAAAACGGTTATATGCAATAATCGGAAGGATCGAGCATGTTTACTAAAAATCATATCGATTTCTAATTCGAGTAGGGCTATTTAATTACCCAAACCAATGGCTGTAGTCAGGTAATGGGGAATGATCACCTTACACAAGTACAGGAACATGGACACCTGCTTAAATTAAAAGAACAAATTAGATGTGTCTGGTAGCCACAAAAAAGAATTAAAATAAAATAAAATAGAAAATTGCACAGTTTCTTTACTAAAATTAAACTTCAATTGCACTCGAAATAATGTGCTTACACAAGAATCAATGTCCAAGAGGGGGAAGATATCATGCGAGGTGTCAGTGTATTTAGCTATCATTTTCAAGCAAATTAACCAAAACCAACTTGTCATTAACACTTCAACTTCACGAAGAAAAAAAACCTTACTGAGTGACATACTAAAAGTGATGTGGTTGACATGCCAAGCATGTTGATACGAGTACGAAAAACACGGTTTGGTGGGACACACTAGAAAAGAAAACTGAGAAGCATAAACCATATTAAGTATACAAACAAAAACTGTTTTCAGCATTCCGGAGAAATTAAATAAGCCAAAAGGAGAAAAACAATACAATTATTCTGACAGATCAATAATTCAATAGTCAAGTCTATTCAAAATACTTCTGAACAATATAGATGACGCTCACTCGAACCTATAACTATGGGCATTTAAATATGGTTTAATAGTTGCTATGAGATCCCCAATTGCAAGTAATCCAATTTCACAAAATCGTGGTGTATGAACATGTCTTACATACAAAGAAATACATAGATGTCCATTGTATGACCATATTCTACATCAGCCAAGCAATACTAGTGCTACCACCAAGTACAAAGGTATTTTTGGCTATAGGTAATTGATCACATTCTAGTGTTCTGCATCAAGCATTTACCAAATGAATAGACATTGATGTCCATAAGAATTTGAACTGTTTTATATTTCATTTCAATAAATTTGACCTATAAAATAAGGGTATGATTATTTCGAAACTAGTTTTAATTTTAAAACTGAACATGGAATAGTTGCAAAGTAAAGTTGAATATTGTGGAAACAGATCGATTAACTGGAAAGCTAGAAAACCATAATATTATTCCCTTGAGCATCTCAAATCTTTCTCCAATCACTAGATCTTCAGGACTCTCTAAACAATTTCATGATGTAATATCATGTAACTTTTACAATTTACCCTCAGAACTTACAACTAAGAATGGAAGTCACCCACCAAGCATTTTAAGGGTATCACTAAAAACTTGATGCATTATTTGTAAACACACATCCAAAAAAGCAAACTAGAGCATCATGATAAACATTGATGACTAAGGCATGAAAATGTTTCAACAATTTTCCTTGCATGGAGACATCCTACTTCATTTGACCAACGCGTATTCCACGAAGATCAGAAAAATCATAAGGCCAAGGACTGCTCCAATTTATAAAGTGAGCAATGTTTAACATCCAACTACTGCATAAAGTTTCAACAAAGAGGACAGACCAGATTATCCAACAAGTTCAGTGAAGACTGAAGAACAAGATTCACAGTAAACATATTCACATACCTTTAAGAAGAGATACCAGTCTTCTCCTTGTGCCAGTGACTTTATCAGACAATCTATTTTATCCACCATGCATTTCATGGTGAAAAAAGAATTTCTCATGTCAGCTTCCGAGATCTCAAAACATGATGATGATAATCTAGGAACTCTGGATCCATATCTGTAGAAAATACCCAAGTGAAATAAACTAACAAGCATAATATTAACTAGATACACTGAATTACAAGGTAAATCGAGATGGAAGGACCATTTTTATGAAGTCATAAATGACAATAAAAACTATATTCAACAAAAAAAAGAGTCAAGCAAGCATGCTGCCAAATCAGGGTGTAAATGTTTAGTTATTGAAAGAAGCTTAGAATCAAAAGCAAGATAATATAGTCCAAAAACTTGATGTTTCTAGAATGACAAGAGGGAAAAAAACAAACAGGAAAGGGACTACCTCCTTGAGTTTTTGCCTAATTACATATCTTCCATAATGATATTATCAACTTAATTTATTTCTAAAATGTTTCCTTGTACTGAGGGGATCAAAGGAAAACAAATATAAAGCTCATCAGTATTTATAATTTTGAAAGATAATTGATTTAATTTGTAATAAGAAAAAATATCAGGGTATTGCTGAAAATGAACTAGAAAAGGCTAAAGAGCAATGCTCTGCACGTATTTTATCTTACCCAATCAATGGTAAAATGTGATGTCCACAAAGAGAAACAGTTATCAGCAGAAGCAGCTGAGCAAGTGATGAAATAAAAGCTCCAGTCGATAAGAAAAACCAGTAATACAGGAGAGCAAGAGCTAAGAAAGAAAGAAAGGTTTTCCTCTCATCCCTCCACAACAGAATATCTGCAACTGTAACAATATAAAACAGTGTCACTGGAAAGGGGAAAAAAAATAGAACACCTTTATCAAAATTTAGTTTGCACAATATCTGCAACTGCAACAATATAAAACAGTGTTACTGGAGAGGGGGAAAAAAAATAAAACACCTTTATCAAAATTTAGTTTTTGCACCACCAGAACACATGATGAGTGTTGAGGGGGGAGGGGGGAAGGGGTGTTGAGGGAAGAGTTGGAGAGGGATCTAAGTAGCATCATATAAACAGCTCAGCATTACTAGTCAACACACCACATGAGAGATGTTTTTGAATGTTGTCTGAAGAGTAGCAAGTTTATTAGAACAGAATATATTGTACAAATACAGAATGAAGATATTGAGTAAGCATAATTATGCTCCGTAATTACAAGACTAGTACGTAACCCGTGCGATGCACGGGCTGTATTTATTTTGGGGAATATTATAATTTGAAGTGTATTAATAAATAAAATAGTGATAGTACGTAAGTAAATTGTCAAATCATAAAATATTCATCATGAAAAAATAATATATTATTAAGAACCCCATTGTACACTATTATTAGTTTGATTGGCAACTCGTTGTCCCCAAAAACTAATATTTTAAACTCATTTCTATTACTTACATGCAAAACAACAACATATAATAGGCGTGACTAAAAACCAATTTACTTAAGAAAAGATCAACGTACGAAAACTGACGCTGACTTTTATTTATTGTAATGGCATACAAAACTATAAGTAAGAACCGATGCCGTTGGAAATTAAATGAAACTCTAAGAGCAGAATGATCTACTTATAATATGATAATTTACCTGACAGTTCGACAAATGAGTTGTGTAACTATATAATAATATTTATTATGTATGTTTAAAATATTAAACACCTAATATATTATATAATATGTGTAATTATACATTAATTCACGCTAATTTTTTCAAATCGAACAATTTTTTATTGGACCACTGTCCTATTATATTATATGTAAAAAAAAAAAAATTATGTAGTAAATTTATATATATAGATATAGTTTTTGTCCAGCTGATTTATATTTTATCAATACAAACAATAGAAAATCGATTTACTATACAAAATTTCAAAAATTTTGTTCTAAAAACAATAGTAAAAAAGAATATAAAATGAGGATTTATATATATCTCACATAAAAGGGAATGAATATATATATATATATATATATCATAACAAAGTATATATATCTCATACAAATCGTTTATTTTCAAAATTTGCTACAGTGAATAAACCAATTTGAATATTACTATAAAATTATATTTTGTGTATATATAGCAACCTAAATCATTAATTCTAATAAGTATGATCAAATCAAAAAGAATCTTCCATAAATGAGAATTTCAAAATTGGCGCCATATAAATTTGAATATTACTATAAAAATTTTTTAATGTATATAGCATATATGCTAATCCAAATTAATGATTCTAATAAATCTGTTAAAATAAAATAAAAAAAAAAATCCTCCATAAATGAAGATTCCAATATTAGCTACATAATTATTTACATCATCTTTACCTACAAAATAACTATCATCTTAATTAAAAGAAACCTATAATTGACTAAAATAAATACAAAATGAAATCCGAGTTATATGGAAACTATGCAATTAATGATTTATTTTTTATTTAAATATTATTATATTATTTCAATTAATGCTTGTGGCGGGAAAATGTTATTAAAAATGATTTAAATTAATCCTTATTATTTATATATATATATATATATATATTATTAGTCTAGTTAGTCTCAAACTTTGTACTATAAATAGGGCCTTTTGTATCATTACTCTCTCAAGGAAATATGTTGGCTACTTCAGACAACACGGTATTAGAGATAGGGCTTGCAATTTTTATTGGTTACTTCAGACAACAAAGTTCAATTACTGACAAGGATCACTGGAATAAACATGCAACAAAATATGCAACTGCAATAGAGAACCGCAAACAGTGATAGTATAATACCTTCTCCACTGCCTAATAGCTTCTCCACTTTTGACGGTACATTGGAGTCCTTATATCTCGTGAAAGATGGGTCTACAGTCAAGTGGGAGAATGACTCAATGGTTAGCTTCACCGCTTCCTGTGTCAAACAATACATCCACCTCAAAACATAAACCTAGAACGTGAAATCTGCTCCGAATTGGGTAAATCTCAGGTTAATGAGCATGCAATAAGTAACATGTGAAACTTGTAATCTACAGTTTCCATTCTGCAAACCACAATGCAGAAACATACAAAATTATATAATAGTTGACAAAGCTCTTCTATTCCCAAATTAGATAACATTCAAATCTCAGAAGCCAAGAATTTTATTTCAGGTATGACCTAGACCAATTAAAAGCGTAAGCAACTTAAACCTAAGAGTTTGGTAGGGAAAACAAACCCACCCCAGCCTATTTATGCTTTTAACACTTTTAATATCCCATACAATGGACTTTCTATGGCTCATTTCAGGCACTAGAATACATTAAGAATATGTAATAAATATATTGTTCCTGACAAGATGAGGAGCAATTTCGTTGTTAATTCTCCAGGAAATATAGAAGTATAGGATCTCCGATTCATGGTAAGATATGATTCGCATAACACTCATTCCTTAAGTCCAATAAAAGCTCGAATGAATAATCCAATTAAAATATGTACATGCAACCTCTTTCATTAACTTATTCAGCACACACAATTCTTCCTTGCTTATACCATTCAGGTGCAGTCATGTAATAACTGAGGAGAGGATTCAGGACACCACAAAAAGGAATGACAGGACCTTGCCCGCAAAGTAACATTACGTATTCTGTAGCCTCTAAAAGCTGGTTTTCCAAGTGAGCCACACATCGTAGATTAGTCTTTTAAAACTTATGTCACGGCCTGGTAGCTTGGTTGATATTACTATCTGAATTATGGTTTAAATGTGAATTTGTAAGCTTTGCCACATATTTATAATGAAAAAAAAAGGATAAATATTTTGATCACTGCACCTTTCAACAAAGTCAGTACCTCAAACTAGCCCATGATAGAGCCGAACCACAGCCAGTGACTCCGAAAGAGAACACAGGAAAAGAAATGCAACACAACACATGATTGTAAATATAAAATGCTAATAGTGAAAACCAAGGATGAAAGCTTACTTCCATGGAGACAACTGGTGAATATCGAATATGATTCTGTGCTGCAGAACAACTAAAAGTCCTCGTACGCGAAGCTAAAGAAGCAATAATATAAATAGAAGCACATAGATCAAGCTTTTTGGATTCTGACTTCACATGCAGCAATGTTATAAGATAAACGATATGGTGGACCACCCAAACAGGGAGACTGATGACAGGCCTGCAATCAGTTGACAACGATAGCAAAACAATAAAAAAAATCAACCAAAGTGGGTTCAGGCTGAAAGGTTTGAGCTGTGTAATATTTCTCTGTGAAAATAGCTGCACTGGGTACTTTTATGCAAATAAATTGTAACACGAAACAGAACGAATACCATAAGCATATGTTAACGGCATATAATCACTACAAGCAACACCCATTCACCAACTTTCTCACAATCAACAAACGGTTTAGAACAGAGAAAAAGACTAACAAGCATGATTCAGTTTACATGATTTCGGACAAATAGGAATAGCTAAAACGAGATAGGTGAGTTGAAATTAGCATGGTGACACAAACGACCAGAAACATGATTATCGTTGGTTATTAATCACATTTAGACTTTAGCCATCCAAGGAGCAAAACATTAAATTCAAAACTATTACTTAAATACTGTTGTAGTAAATTTGCAAGTTAACAAAGGAACTCCCAGAGACTCATGCTGGAACTTTATTGGATGTAGACTTTTTCTATTGCACTGACCACTTATCTGACAAATTGGTTATTTGAATGCCCATTTCCTGTTTACAATTCTTACCAGAATTTTTACACTACAAATACAAGGGCTAAAAATTAGGATCGATATTATTTGTTAAACAAAACCCAGAAGTTGCCACTGCAGATTGGCTAATTAATAAAAACAAAAAATGCAAAGTACTAAGATAACACTCAGGTCAAAAGACCAGACGAATTTATTGATACACATGTCAAGAGTGAGAATTAGATAATGCTACAGAGAAAATTATGGTATATTCTAATTTATTTTCTCAGTCCACTAACTTCAAAATTATGCAACATTTCCATTTTTATACTATTATGTATCCCACTAGCTTTATCTTGACTAAGCATGAAAAGGTGCACCGCAAGTGATGTCTCTAATGTTTGGGATCATTGATACACCTTCAAACTATCAAGCTAATTCAAAGTTAGACACATATGATAAGCTCCTACGGTTAATAATCTGACAACAATATTTCTTTATTACAACAACTATTCTCAGCGACCAAGTCTTCTTCTGGTCTTTTGGTCAATCTTCTTAACCTCCAGCAATCACTACCATTGTATTTATCCCCTATTGTATCCACCTCTCTGTCAGCAATATTGCTTGCCAAATAGTCAGTGTGGCACAGCGGTAAGAACCAAATAAATCATCTTGTAATATGTGATGCTAAAGCTCAAGGAAACTGGATGGCTCATCTGAGATCAGTTGGTCCGTGGCTTTAAATAAGTCTACGAATTCTTCTCCAAGTATAAAATTGTTTTGAAAAAGTGCTGTGAATGATTTACAGAGAGCGACGTGTTATGTGAAAACCCGTAATCTCGATCAATGCTCTAAAATCAGTTCTCTGTTAGCAGAGGAAGTCGAGTCGTGAAAACACGTGATCTTGGTCAATGCTGTCAAGAAAAAAACTAGGTAGCACTTAGGGCATAGCGTCTTGCCCAGCATAAGCAGTAATGTGCAGGACAGGAAAAATGTGAGGAGATGCTTTAATCTGGATCACATCATCATCAAATTTAGTAGAGAACTGATGCTTTAAGACTTTTACTGATTGAGATTATATACTAATGGACCTGGCTTAAACTTCAATTGATAAGAACGAGCCAAGTTCACATGTCTCTTAATTCCAAGAAAACAAATGTATTTCTGGCAAACAAGTTACTGAAAACAAAGTAGAAAACTGAAAGGACGTAAAGAATCCAAGGTTAGGCCTATTTGGTTTTAACCTTTGGAACAGTGTGAAATTCAGGCAGGTCAGGCCGGGGTTCCCCAAATAGATCATCACTAATATTCAAATAAAAACATGTACATACAGATGGGAATAATTATACGGATAAAATAATAGATATATATTTTTCATCATTGTTAAAACGGGTTTCCAGCCACTAAAAGGTGCGTTCAGCCCTCTTATATCAACTCATGGAGTTGGGGAAAAACAATGTGTCATAGATATATACATCTCCATAAAGCAGCATCAAGCCATTGGAATAACATTAATTCAATAATCATTTGAGCACACTGAGTAGGTTCAAATTTCAAGTGTGGATCCATAAAAAAACCAAACATGCAACTTAGATATATACTACTGAGGAGGTTCAAACTTCAAGTGTGGATCTATAAAAAAACCAAACATGCAACGTAGATATACACTACAAGAGCTATTTGTTTCCAAAGCATCATATTAAAAACAGAGATCTGGTTACCTCAGGTAGCCCAAGCCCTCCAGCAAACCAGATGCAAATTCCCAAAATTTCATTGGCTCAAGATTAGTTATGAAGAAGACCTACAAAAATTTCAGACCAAGGTATCATCATATGAAAGGAAAAGTAACCACAGTACTTATAGGAACTAGATAATGAAAATACCTTCCCAGATACAGTTGCCAACTGAGAGCTTAGAGATTCTTCAGCACAAATATGAGCATAGGCAACATTCTCAATGTATGTGAAGTCTGAGAGGTTGTTTCCACTTCCTATAATAAACTGAAATGAGAAGCCTATTACTAATTCAAAAACACACAAAATCCCATCTCCATTTGTGCAAGATGGAAACAATAACTGCAGAGGAATGCAACATGGCCTTGGAAGGGCATATAAGAACCAGAGCCTTATTTTTTTTCATGTAAAGAGTGCATAAGTCACATCATAAAATATCAGTATTACGTCCAATATAACAAAGCATGTCAAATGTTTCTAGAATCTATAACATAATTACACAAACAAGGCCAAAAATAAACTTGAGCCTGCAATTAAAGAGCCAGCTGGTAATTCTTTTCCAATGGGTGCTATAGGATTCCTTGATAAAAAAAAATGCCAACATTAATGTATTACTCGGAATCTAGATAAAAATTCACTTTAAAAAAATATATGACTACTTATTAGTCAGCCAAATGCCACTAATTGTTTCCTCGTGGGTGCTAATATGGCCGAAAAGGATGCAAATATTGGTCCCAAGAAAATCCCACTTCCTAAAATGTAAATCTCAGCCAAATGAGATACAGTTTCCTTAACCTGCCTTTTCATTTCAATGGGCCTGAATGGATCACATGGGAAATTCGAAGCGTGGTATACTTTCAACAGGGGTGCATGACCCCGCCCACCCTAAAAAATTAACAATGAGATGGCCTCCATTACTTCAGCATGCACCGGTTTTGAGGTGCATGACAAGCTTTTAACCCGTGGCAAAAGCTTTAAGGCAATGGCATTAAAGTCTTATAAATTGTAATCATTCCATAGTTTTAAATGGCGAACGGCGAGGCGAGGCGAGGCGAGGCGAGGCGATTGGCCCATGGCCTCGCCACGAGGCGAGGCGATTCGCCATGGCGAGACCTCGGCTACACATATCACCAAAATTTAGAAAAACAATTTTATAGATTGTGCATTTATATAGTTGTGTACAAATGATAAAAATAACATCAAATATCTCCAATAAAGGCAAGTAATTGACACACAAACACCACTTAAGAAAGTAGTTGAAGGTTTTTGAAGGTGAAGATTTTTTTGCTTATGTCCTAAGTCCGATAAAACCCTAGCTTCGTGGGTCTGATGTGTGTTTTTTTAATTCTCTTTTCCAGAAAGTGTTAACACGCATTTAATATTATTATTTTTTAAAATAAAGGGGTGGGCTGTGCCTTTAATTCCCCTGAAAGGCGCCGAGGAGCGCCACACAGGCGCCTCTGACCACGCGAAAAGGCGAGCCGAGGCGACCTGAAGCGAGCGCCTCGCGAACAGGGTCGCCTCAGGCAGTGGCGAGGCGATGTGGCCCTCGCCTCGGTCGCCTCGCCTCGAGGCGTCGCCATTTTAAACTATGAATAATTCCATTTTAGTAATAATGAAATCAATTACAGATACTATCATTGTGATTAACCAGAGCAGATAGGTTGTCTACCCAGAAAGTACTATATGGAATTACAGAAAAACAATCCACCAACATTTGTAAGAAAAACAAAATATTTGAGGCAAGGTAATTATGAGAACTTAAACTAGCTTGCAGACCTTAGCCCAGCAGGATTTTGCCACATTCACCAGCAAGGGTAAAAGATGTTTATCTCCGGGCCCAAATACATTGCAAGGACGAAGAGCACACGTTAGAAGGCCATCAACATTATTGGAAAATAAGATAAGTGCCTCCGCTTGAGTCCTAAGGTCAGTGACCGTGTCCCGAAACTGTAGCACAGCATGGATGAAAATTAGAATCACTGCTCATTGGAAACACAAAAAAAGGAAGTAACCTCAACTTTTACAAAGCTTACTTGGCCAGAATACGGCATGGACTCATTTCCAAGACATATATCATGAGCATTATCAAAAACTACATCAGCAGAGCTGTTGTATATCAGCCGCTTAACTTTACATTCTCGACAAGCATTAACTACATTTTTTGCACCTGAAAATTTGAAGCAAAAAAAATAAGAAAAAGCAAAGGTATTGGATGAGATGCAATATAGCAATTCCATTCAATTTAATACCTAACCTAGCAATGAAAGTTTTACCTTGAACAATTATATTGTAGCAAAAATAGAAATCAGGAGGGTAGGAATCCATTGATTCAGTATAAAATACAGCTGAAACGCCTTCAACAGCTGCACAGAAAGAACACTTGTTACCATGCAAATTTCTGGTAAAAGGAAATGAAGAATACAAAGTT